GTGTGTGTGTGTATATACAAGGATGAGCTATCTCGAGCTATTGCATACTTGCATACATATACCCACTAAAGCCTACCAGAACAGCGTGCCTAGTAGATGGCACAGCGGAGGACTTACACTCATGGATGGCCAGCAGTACTCCAGTAGAGAGACATCTTCCATCACCTTATAGTCTCGATAGACCTGTAGAACAAACTTAGGGCCCAGATCCTACACGGTTTATGATTAAGGTCACGAAACGCGGGACTAAAGGTCAGACACGGCGGCAGTAGAGAGGAGAGCTAGTTGAAATCGATACGCTTATGGTCTAGCCACAGAGTTCTGTTGGCTTGTGACAGACAGTAATAAGACAGAACATACGATGTTCATAGTAAGAATTTACGTAGTAATAAGACAGAACATACGATGTTCATAGCGAGAGCTTACATAGTAATAAGACAGAACATACGATGTTAATAGCAAGAGCTTACATAGTAATAAGGCAGAACATACGATGTTCATAGCAAGAGCTTACATAGTAATGAGACAGAACATACGATGTTCATAGTAAGAGCTTACACGGTATTAAGACGGAACATACGATGTTCATAGCAAGAGCTTACATAGTAATAAGGCAGAACATACGATGTTCATAGCAAGAGCTTACATAGTAATGAGACAGAACATACGATGTTCATAGTAAGAGCTTACACGGTATTAAGACGGAACATACGATGTTCGTAGTGAGAGCTTACCTAGTAATAAGACAGAACATACGATGTTCATAGTAAGAGCTTACATAGTAATATGACAGAACATACGATGTTCATAGTGAGAGCTTTCATAGTATGGGGCATGGCGTGTGGTAAAGTACACAAAGCAGCCATCGCTCAGAACTACCACGCACAGGTTCGTCAACAGTAAACATCCGCAGAGCATGTGTGCGGCCCAGTCACGCGATGACTGTAGTTCACGCAACACACACACATATATATATATATATATATATATGCGACTATACTGAAAAGAGGTGTACAAGGGAATGTAACACCCATGCAGATACACAGCCAGCCCTTCCACACAGCTGGTGGTAGGTGAGTGAGTGGGTTCACATACCTTCCATGTTGCGGTGTCGTGGATGTTGTAGCAGTTGATGTCTACCCAGGGATTGCCCTGTGGATCGCCCAAGTCGTGTGGGCATGCTGCCTTGGTGGTACGTTTCTTAGCCGTGCCTCCCATCATCAGAGGCCACGACCGCTTATCCTCTACCATAATGGCATCAGCTATAGACGTAGAATACATAGGATGCTTGGCATCAGTTGTAGACGTGTAATACATAGGATGCTTGGCATCAGTTGTAGACGTGTAATACATAGGATGCTTATCAGCTATAGACGTGTAATACATACGATGCTTGGCATCAGCTATAGACGTGTAATACATACGATGCTTGGCATCAGCTATAGACGTGTAGTACATACGATGCTTGGCATCAGCTATAGACGTGTAATCCATAAGATGCTTGGCATCAGCTAAAGACGTATAACACATACGATGCTTGGCATCAGCTATAGACGTACAATACATACGATGCTTGGCATCAGCTATAGACGTGTATTACATACGATGCGATATATGGAATGAGGTGGGTGTACCAGTTTTCGCAGGGGTTCATAGTCTGCGACTGCTGTCTCTGGCCCGGGACAATGTGTTGTAGCTGATTAAACATACTACACGTACCCTAAAATACCGGCGCAAACTGCTACAGTTCATGTTCACTGAATTCTAACTCTTCAACAAACATGCACACAACCACGCATACAGAATCAATTAATTCACAATTACACACCTATATAATTACTGAATCCACAACCACACATATACAATTACTGAATACAACATCACACATGAATACAATTACTGTGTGTAAAACCACACACGTATACAATTAATGTATCTAACATCACAAACATATACAATTACTGAATCCACAACTACACACATATACAATTACTGAATTCAAAACCACACAAAAATGCAAATACTGTATCTAAAACCACACACATATACAATTACTGTATCTAAAATCACACAAAACCCCCACGGTATTTCAGATCGCGTAGCTAACCTACCATAAATCATAGTTGAGTGTCAATGCCCAACTGGCGTAGAAGTGTACGTTATAAGTCTTCACCTACCATAATCACGTTGTATAGAAGATGCGATCTTAGGCCAGTTGAGTGTCAATGCCCAACTGGCGTAGAGGTGTACGTTATAAGTGTTCACCTACCATAATCACGTTGTATAGATGATGCGATCTTAGGCCAGTTGAGTGTCAATGCCCAACTGGCGTAGAAGTGTACGTCGTATGTGTTGACCATTCGATATTCGTGGCCCTCGAGGTACCCAAATCTGCCGATCTCATCTGTGCATGAGAGCAGCGCAATTGAACAACTCAGCCAAACACGAGTACCAAGACATCTTCTGACTTGCAGAACACAACCCATCAAACAAACGAGATGAGTGGTAGTAGGAGGCGGTTGGAAGACGTTTAATTTCCGTATAACGACCATGTAAATCGATATTGTATTGGAAACTCCTTGCACGTGTATGTCCCTCAGAAGCGGTAACGGATAACAGCATTCACCTGCGCTATACACACCTGTGCTATATACACCTGTTATTCACACCTGTGTTATTCACACCTGTGTTATTTACACCTGTACTAAACAGACCGCCTGCAATGAAAACCCGACACACAGCCGATGCCACAGGTCTATTGACCAGTGACCACATGTATGTATTGCGGATCGTTGCAACGGCAGGTAGCTACTACTCAGTTTCTGCACAGACTTGTCAGTAAACTATCAAGCATGTCTGCCCACGCCTACGACAGCTATGTATATGTCATTGATTGCGAGGTCAATGCGTGGCACACCTTCTTTATCCGCCAGCCACACCGTGCCCCCATCAGCGACAAAGTAGGATTCGTTGAACAGCGCACTTTTGTACCAATCAGGCAGCTCACTGTCATTCAGAATGGGACTCTGCCAGTCTGTGTGTGTGCATGTGATGGGAAGTGTGAGTGTGGGTATCCCTTTCTAACTGCAGCGCGCATCTCAACTGGACGCGAAATAGTCACGTATTTTTTGTTGTAGTTGTGGTACATCGAGGTGCTCTACTACGATGTCAGATGATCCTGTAGACAGTACGGAGCTGGTCCCCAATAGGCCGCACATCACACGGGCGTGCTTAAAGCATACATCCAAAGTCAGGCACGTTTCAATGTATGTATATATGTGTGTATACTATCACTCTGCTAGACAAACGTGTGCTTAGAAGGATTATCAGCGGTACGCAAAGGTGATGAGACCTTATCTATAGCATATCTGGTAGTGAGCTGATCTGAAGGAAAAAAGGTGTGGCATCTCCATATATAGCTTACACAGACCAACCCGTATATATGGTTATGCCGTTCACGCACATTCCTCTTATACTTTGTATCAGGTTTGAACAGCAATCGCAACTACTCACCGTAACTAACCATCCATCACGGACACAATATGAGTAACCTCCTCGTCCATAAATATAAAGAGCAATGAGCTACATGTATCATATATATATATATATATATATATATACATATATATATATATTCATACATATATATAATACATGTATACATATTGAATATACATATATATATGTATATGTATATGTATATGTATATGTATATGTATATGTATATGTATATATATATATATATATATATATATATATATATATACTNTATATATATAC